ATCAAGGAATACATGAACGAAAATAGCCCCTGGGAATAAGGTGATCGCCACCATGCTGGTTTTATAAAAATTCATTTAAAAATTGTATAAACAAAATTTTAAGTGAAATATGTTTGAAAAAAAGGCCCGCTGGGTTTCTTGCTGGTTCTTCCCAGGATAGAGGTATTTCCCGAATCAGTGGTAAATAAAAAATGAATTTTAATAAGTATTATGTAATAATCAATATTGAATTAAAAATCATTCTATTCTATTCTTTCTTTCTTTATAATAAATATTATAATACTATTTCAGTTCTGTTTAAAAATACCAATAAATAGACAAAATATCAGTGTTCCTTAATCTTAGTAAGAGTAATTTCTTACGCGCATATAATAGGTACCTGCAATTATGTAAAAAAAATTTAAATTAAAGTTATTAAGTTATTAGTTAAATTTGACCAACTTCTCGATTTTCGATGAAGCTGAAATTTTGCATATACGTTTAATTTAGATGACAATGCATGGTTAGACAAGTGACGTCATTCTAAATCCAATATGGCGGACTCCCAAAGATGTAGGACTAGTTATTTTTTATGCATTCCCATGATATAGATATCAAATAAAAGGGTTTGCTGAGAAGAATAGTGTTCGCGACGGTTTAAAGACTTTAAGCAAAAAGTGATTAAAGAATATTAAATTGTTTTTAAAAGTGAAATTAGCGACAAAATCGAACAAATTGTGTTTTAATATAGTTTTACAGTATGTTTACAACTCGTAATATATTTGTATAAAGTATCGTTTTAATAATAAGTTGATATAAACGACTTTAAACATTAAATAAAATTTCGACCAATCACAGCAATGCATATCGTGGAACTTTCTAGAAGTTAATTAACTGCGCAATAGTTTATATGAAAATAATGAGAATATTTTTATGTTCTGAAAGAATTGTAAATACGATATTTAGTTAGCATATGGTGTATAGATTGAAATAAGTAAATAGATAATTTGTGTAAATAAACGCATTTGATAAATATAGTAAAATTGAAGATTTAATGTGCACTTTTGTTATGTAAATTAGGTACATTTTGATTAATAACTTTTTTGAATGTAAATATGTCAAGTAACCCTTATCACATAATGATAAAGGACCAAAATGCCTATTTTATAGTGTATAGCGTGTTAATGTAAAAATTAGCATTATATAGAAAAATTGCGATTTGTGCAAATTACGTAATGAAAATGTTTGATAATAAAAAGGCAAAACCGGAAATTGGCAAGCGGCTCTCTATAGAGTATAGCCGAAGTCTACCTTATGGGGGCAAATCACAGTAACATTGTAGTAGGAAGAACTACCAGTAACAAGCAGTAGTATCCGGTAGTAGCTGAAGTGACTAGTAGCAGAACACAGTGAAAAGTTAAAGTGAAATAGAAAAAGTTTAGCTAGCCGAAAAAGGTCGTAACTGAAAAATCGCAGTTACACATAGTCGGAAAAAGTGGCAACTGAAAATTCTCAGTTGCATATAGTAAAATAGTGTTAGCTAGCTGAAAAGAGTGGTAACTGATATTCGCAGTTACATATAGTGAAAAAGTGTTAGCTAGCCGAATAAAGTGGTAACGGAAATTTCGCCGTTACATATAGTGAAAAGTGTTAGCTAGACGGAAAAAGTGGTAACTGATATTCGCAGTTACAAAAGTGTTAAATTCAACTAAATTTAGTTGATTAATAGCTGCTAGTCAGTAGTGTTAGAAAACCAGCTACTACCAATAGAAAATTTTGATACTACCAATAGAAATTTGTTACTTCCAATAGATATTCAAAATTACCAATAGAAATAGTAGAAAATACCAATAGAAACTTGTTACTGCCAATAGAAATTTGATATTACCAACAGATATTTTGAAAATACGAATAGAAATTTTAAAAAACCAATAGAAATTTTAATATTACTGTGTGTTTAATTAAATCTGTGTTTTAAAATATATAGTGAACAATCATAGTTGAAAAACAGTGTTAAATAAATAAATAAGTTATAATATTTCGTAACTAATTAATCAGTCGAACCGCTGGCCACTCCCTTGCTATTTTAATTTATAAATCGTGCATTTTTAATTCTGAACCTCAGTCCACAGTTCTCCAACAGCATACACAAAGGCGGTAGTGAAAGTATCCTCCTGAACCTATAGGTGTAGGACGTGAGCGGCTCGCGGAGTATCTTCGACAACATTTACTCCGGAGAGTTACGCCCGTCCGGCACAAATAGCAAAAATAAAAATGAAGCGTGTTTTTGTGTCTCAACCTCGCTCGCATAGATTAAACGTTTTCAAATGGGTTTTTAAAAAATAATTTATACTAACGTAAGTCTTACCATAGAAACATGTGTAGTGTAGTGTCAAACTTACGATAGTTAGAATCAAGAAATATTATGCAGATATTAAACAAATATAGAATTTAAAATATTATTAGGTATTTGTAAGTTTAAGCTGAACATTACAGTTTTTTAACTGAGCTTTGGAAATCAATTAGATCATTTATATAATTTGATATAATTATATTATGCAGATATTAAACAATAAATATAGAATTTAAAAAATTATTAGGTCTTTGTAAGTTTAAGCCAAACAGTACGGTTTTTTAACTGAGCTTTGGTAATCAATTCGTTCATTTATATAATTTGATATAATTATATAATTCTAGTAATAAGATTAAATAAAGGAAAAAAAATAGTTAAGCTGGTAACATTAAGTACGGCATCGGTAGCGCGCAGAGTTAGGTATCTTGCGTCCACTATAATATTATATAATATGGTGCTTACGCATCGTAACACAATTTACAATTTGGAGTATATATATATATACATATAAAATACTGGCAAACGTATTTTAAATAGCACATTTAAAAAATAATAATTATTTAAACTGCACCCATGTAGTTTAGAAATAAAAAATAGTCAAAGATCTTTCACCTTATTATATTGTTTATACGTACGTGTATGTTAGGTATGGGCAAGTGAAAAGATATCGATATTTATCGTATGGATATTTTTAAAGAGTATCGAACAGTATCGATAATTATCGCATGATAAATATCGATATATCATTATTTTTGCAAGATGTAGGTACAGTCGACTCTTGTTAATTCAAACCTGCGATAACTCGAACCTCTCTATAATTCAAAGTTATCACGAGTTCCCTACAAAATCTCTTCATATTTCAAACTAAATCAATACATTTATATGCACTTGGTAATTCGAACGAAAATATGATTGCTACGTCACAAAACGACGCGTTAATTCGAATTCATCGGCGTCAAACACTCCACAATTCAAAGTTGCAGAGAGAAAGGCACTTTTTCTCTTAGAAGAAGTTATTGAGCAGTCTGCGCAGCAACAGTGTGCTTTGAAGCAAATCAGTATAACAGAGTTCTTTCGATTGATGAATTAATTCTCATTATGAATATGTACCTCTAAACTTTTGTCATTGTTAAAGAATAGCAGTTAATAAATAATGATTGATCAACACTTAATAATTCGAAGTTTTATTTATTTTCTCTCAAATATTTCGAACCATTTGCTATTTCAAACACTCGATAATTCGTAATATTTTAAGAGTCCCTCAAGTTTTGAATTCACGAGAGTCAGCTGTAGTAGCATAAGGGCAAAAATTTTATTACTAAACATTTAGACGATGAAAGAAAAAAAATGCATATGAATGCTTTTGTTGCTTAATTGTGTTGTCTAATAAATTACATTGTTACATTCACGGTTACTTATTTCAAATTTCACGCACACACATCGTGTCAAAATTCGTTATACCATCCTCACCTTCTGGAAGCTTGGCGGTCCACCACTGCGCATTTTACTAGAAGTTTTCTTCCGCAACTTCTCTATGGAATTGTTTACCAGCGACGATTTTTCCGAACCGATACGACTTAGGGCCCGTCAAAAAGAGAGATTACTCTTTTCTAAAAGGTCAGCACCTGCAATTCAACTGGTGTTACGGCTGTTCATGGGCAGCGGTAGTTACTTACCATCAGGTGAGTCGCATGTTCGTTTGCCCCCTCTTCAATAAAGAAAAAATATATCAAAATTGATACAAATTCAATAGGTAATCTAAAATAAATATCATACATATATTGAAAATAGCGACCATAAACATTGCAAATGTAAGAAAATATCGATAGTTCTATATTTTTTACCTAAGCCTAGTCCGTGTCAGTGTCGGGTGTTAGAATTCAAAAAAATATAGAGTTTTGGCGGGAACTTGACCGGCGGCGGTTTTATACTCCTGTATTATAGTTGAAATAATAGTTTGAAGTGGAATTTGATATGTAAAAGTGGTACGATTTATGTATTTATTGTCTACGCATGTGAACTATTAGTGGAAACGGTGAAACAAGTGTTCTGATGGTGTTGGATTCTCAAGATTAGCTGTTTGTTTGCATAGGCGCCTTTAGATACCATCGCCAACTGTCAGCTGTCTGCTGGCTCAAGTTGCCATCAAAATCTCCCAAGGGCTGCACAATGTGACGCATCAACATATTGTGAAGCAGTGAAATTCTATATACACAAAATAAAAAAGGCGAGGCTGTATGTCATAGTTCCTTTGCCTGCTCTTAGAACGAATAATAAAAACAACAACAATAATCAAAAAAATATAGGTTATCTTATCTGGTATCTGCCAGTTTCGAAAAATTATTAAAAATTTGTTGAAAGGTTATTAATAAATATTTTTTAAGAAACATTGTAACGAAGATAGAAGTAATAAAAGCAATTAAGTAATTCATTAATTATAAATTATTATTTACACGTACTCATGCCTTAAAAAGTTGCCAAAATGGCGCTACTTGCTATATCTCAGGAAACACACTGAATAGTTATTGAATTATTACATCTATCACGCATTGGTTTGATTGTCTTTTTGAGTTAATCATAAATGATATTCATTAAAGTAGGCGCCTGGTAAATTCTACATTTACCCCGAGTTAATGTTTGTTTTAACCTTTATAGTAGTTAAGATATTATGAAGGAAGTGATTTTAGCTATTTTAACCTTCGTATGTAGCATATTTTTAGTTTTCGTATTTGTGTTGTTTTGTAAGTAGCATTTTGTTTGTTGGTACTACGACTAACTGTGAATGCACAAAACCATATTAATATTTTCTCATAATTTAATACATGACTTTCTTTGTCTTTGTTGTAGGCTGGTACATTGTGTGGAAGTGTTGTTTATCTAAATTTCGATTTGTTCGCGAGCTCCTTGGGGGTATGTCAGATACTCCCCCAGCATCAGAGATAAGGCAGCCAAGTAAATTAAGGAAACCTAGAAGAGAATAAAAAGTAGTAACAAAACAATTTTATTTTCTATTTAAGCTACTTTGTTGTCTTCATTGTATAATTATTGTTCAGATCAAAATGAATATTAGATGTGCAAGACCAAGTGACTTGATGAATATGCAGCACTGCAATTTACTCTGTCTGCCAGAAAACTATCAAATGAAATATTACTTTTACCATGGCCTATCATGGCCTCAGTTGAGTTATGTTGCTGAAGATGAGAAAGGACATATTGTTGGTAAGCATTTTGTTTGTTTTATTGCAAAGTGAATTTAATTAAGTAATGTAAATCTTTTGATACATGTTTAGCAGATCATATAGTTTATAACAGGATATTTAGTTTCTATTGGATAATATGCTAGGATTTGTTTTACTGATACTGCCTGTCTATGTCTTCAAGATTAAATGCAGAGTTATGTTGGTGGGATCTTACTTTTTGTCATTATTAGTTTATCTAAAAATTATCCGCTGATTTGCAGTCTGGCAATGTAGCAAAGTTACTTGCTCTATAGTTTTTACTAGTGACAGTAGCCTAATGGCTAAAGGTGTACACAGCGAACTCAAGTTAGTGGGTTCAAATCAGTCTTCTGTCTACTATCATGAACCACTCCTGACACAAGTAGTTTAAGCTTACCAGCACGGCTAGCATAGGCTGGGCACGAAAAAATTTATCTCCTGATCATATCCACTGACAAGAGATAAAATTATCTTGTCCCTATGCCAAAGCACAGCAACGGGGAGAAGTATATCCTCGTTTGACATAGCGATTAGACATATCCCCCGTCTGTAGTATGGAGCCAAATTAAAGATAAAAAATGCTATGCTTTTTTGACATTTCAAAGTGACAATTTTATCCTAGTTCTTTAGACGTGGGTTTAAGTTTATATTTATACAAAAAATTTATCTAAGTCTATCTCCCATTTTATCTACTGTGGATATTATATCCACCGGTGTGCCCATGCTCAAAGAGTGGATAAAACTAAGCAAGGGGATAAACATTTTGTCCTTTCCCTGGAGATAAAATTGTCTCCTACCCATGCTAGCCCTGCTGGAGTAATCAACCAAAATATTAATAACGTTAATAGCATAGCTAATATTTTCTTATTAAAATAATAATAAATTATTTCTTAAAAAGAAGAGGTCTACACACTAACATATAGTAATGAAGCATATCATTTTCATTGTTACTAATTTGCTTTTTTTCTCTGCAGCTTTGCTCTCTTGCCTCCTTACTTTTATACGTGGGTTCTAGAGTAATTTGTTAATTTCCCTGGGTTTTAGGTTTACAGGTTTTACTGGGCCAGCATGTTTGTGGACTTTACATGTAATTGAAATATTTTAGTCATCAGACATGTTGGCTTAGAATATTTAGGCTCCATTTTAATGTGGGACTTATTCAGAAAAGAATGTACCTAAATGTGTTACTTCGCTAGCTTGTTATAAAAGTGATTAATGGGATATTGGGTCTGTGATTATGTAGCAATAGGCTAGCCATATTTTTTTTTACTGAATGTGGTCAAGGTTGCTCTTTAGGCACTGCCTACCCCTTGGGAATTACAGGCTGACATATAAGTATGTATGCGTAGGTTTACTCATGATGTTTTCCTTTCTTGCTGAGACTACAATTTCATTATAAGTGGGTTCTGGAGTTCAATTTCATTATAAGTTCGCTGTAATTGACCTCTCTATTCTCACATATTCTAATTAGTGGTGTGAGGCTTCATTAAATTGTTTTATAATTACACAATATTGATGTACTTTGGTGTTGTTGGAGTTTTTCCTCTATATAGGTGTAACAATTTTCACATTTAACATATTTAAATGTGCAATATTTATAGGAGAGATTGCAATTAAATCCTACAAATGGGGAGGCTCATCTCCAGCCACTAAGGGCTGACAAAAATGTTTTTTTTTTGCAAAGCTTGAACTTGTTATTACATAAGTACTAAAGGCAATACATTTTATTTCTATTGAAAAGGATATGTACTTGCTAAAATGGAAGAGGATGGGGAAGACAATCGTCATGGACATATAACATCCTTAGCGGTCAAAAGATCACACCGCCGCCTTGGCCTAGCACAAAAGCTTATGAATCAAGCGTCACTTGCAATGGTGGAGTGTTTTCAGGTAAATAATTTATACTAGACATGGCTGAGTCAAGTAATTAACTCCAATAATAATTTAACAAATTTTTAGGCAAAATATGTATCACTACATGTAAGGAAGAGCAACAGAGCAGCCCTTAATCTTTACACAAACTCATTGGGTTTCAAAATCCTAGAAATTGAGCCGAAATACTATGCAGATGGTGAGGATGCATATTCAATGATGAGGGATCTTAGTGCTTTTGCAGCAGATAATAAATCCGAACAATCTGAAAATTTGGAAATCAAGTCAGAGTCAGCTATTGTATCACAGTGTTAAGGTTATCAAAATAAAGCATTCATCCAATTAACAACAATTGTTTTTATACATAATTTAGCATTAGTGTATTTATAGTGTGATATTTAAATTTTTATGGATATTATTTTTGTTTCAATGTAAGTACATGTTGATCTCATGGCTAATGTTAGTGTAAAAATAAATTTAGGATAAGCCCACTGAATTTATGCAATAAATTTTTCGAATTTAATCCAAAAAGAATGAGTAATTAACCGATTCTTTCATTTGATGACACGCCTATTGTGCCATCAGCCATGTGTAAAAGTAATGTTCTTTTTTATGCTTTTTTAACTTGTTTAGACCTAATTAAGTTTAGTTGACATCAAACATCAGTTACAAACGGAAGGATACTTGTTTTTAGTGGGTAACTACGTGTTTTTCTACATGTTTTCTTTAAATGTCACTTACTCTCGTATCGCAGCTTTTGCTGTCGCACGCATGGGCCGGCTCGAACCCGGGTGGTACCACGACCTCACAGAATACCAGCGTGAAGTAGAGGTTTACCTCTGCGTTTCGCTTGGTGAGTGCAGATGGCCGGAGGCCCTTTTTACTGGAAATGAGGCATTCCATCTTAGTCCTCATGGGTGACAACGCATCTGCATTTTGATTCGCAAACGAGGATAGATGTAGATGTTTATGGGCCGCAGCAACCACTTACCATCAGGTGGACTGTGTGCTCGTTTGTCACCCTTATCCTAAAAAAAAAAGTGACTTTTTTATGCAGAGATTACAAAATCACCCTGGAAAATCATGGTTTTTATTAAATTAAATTTTCACCTAAGAATAACATTTGTAAATATCAAACAATCAAGAACCTTAATGATTCATTGATATTTACAAATGGTAAATATTATTTAATGTTATAAAAATGTAAAAGTAAAGTCGATCTGAAAACGTCTAATTAGTAAGAATAGCAAAACAAGTGTTTTCAAAGGAAAAAACGACGGCGGATTGACAAAAGACTATTTATTAGCAAACTTTTTCAAGCATGAACGGTTACGAACTGTTTCAAGCAAAAATAAACCTTATACCATATCACAAGAGCACATGGTACTTCGTAGGTTATTCGGCCATATGATAATAATAAGACGGCAGTTCAACAATTTTAAGCAAAATTAAACAATTAGAGAAACGCATTGTTTTTTTAACAGAAGACTTGTTTTCCAGAAATTTGTTTACAACTTGAGTTTGTGAGCGATCGCAATAAGTGCTATTATTTGTTACTTATTAGACTATTTTCCACAAAAAGAGTTCCATGTAAAAGAAAGGTTGTCAACCCCTAAAAATTTCAAATTTTCTGAATATCCAGAAACGAAGCTGTAGGCATGAACTACTTGCGAAATAATGAATATTTTACTCTGGATAAATCTTCCAAAAACGAAATTTGAGCGAGTTATAACGATTTTTAAAAAGACACGACTCACGTTTCATACGCCATACACAAAAATAATCGCAGGCAAGCCTGGCGTGCCATCCGCACTGAACCGGTTAATTCCAAGCAAACTTAGGTTTACTTTTGCTAATGCTATCACTTGTACCATTAATACATCTAAACTTAGTATCTATAAAGAAACAATAACATTAGCCCACATCCTATTATTTTCACTAACATTAGCTGTACCATAGACAATTTTTATTTACCTGTAAATGAACTGAACATAAGCCTTAACAAAATGAAAGCATATAGAGATTGACAGTAAAACTAGAACAGAACAATTTCAGGCAATATTGTTATCTATCAGGCCAAGATATTAGTCAAATTTTTCTAAACTGTTGAGAAGAGATAGTCATATAATCTTTTAAGGCCTTAGTGCCTGTATTCCCATTCATCCCATTGGCAGAATGATTGTGAATGTTATTCTGTTAGCACCCACGTTTGATTTTTACTAACAAGGAAAAAATGGAATTTTACGAATGACTGCTTGAAGAATTATGAGAAATTAAAGTTACATTAGTATATAAAAATTGGCTTGAGCTTTAGATCATAATACAAAGATATTGTTGTGGTCAAAACCAAACTAAACGACAAAATGTATTAATATCAAAGTGTAATATTTATAACCACTGTAATATTATTTGAAACATAAAAAAGTTGAAGACAGGTGATGGACATTTACGAACTGTAAAAACATGGTGACGAAAAGAATCCATTTACAAATATAAGAGAAGTGCCTTTTCTAGATGGAGTGAAAACCTAACAAAGTAGTTGTTAGATGCAAGTGGCTGTAGATCATACTTTGTGGAAAACTGTTGTAAGCTGGGAAGGGCTATGTTCAGCAGGGTACTTGTGATGGGCTAAAATGATGATAATTTAAATTATTTTACATTTTATATATGGTCATGATTAAAATAAAAAATTAAATAAACACACACTACACTATATTGCAGAGGGATTTCAATTTAAAAATGGTGCCAGCAATGATTCAAGGTGGTATCTTGTGTTGTTCAATCTCGCTGCCTTGTTAGTCAAGTGGATGTATATACAACTTTGCTAATTGTGAAGTCCTAGATTAGCCCAATATCAGTTACTGGGCTTGTTTATTGAGAAATTCTCAGTAGCAGCTGGAGTCAGGAAGTTTGTGTTTCACCTTCACGCCTCACTCAAAAGCAAAAGCAATTGGTCCTGAACTTTATTATTATAACCTGTTAAACTAAAGTAATTAAACATGTTAAATTAAAGTAAGGTAAAATTGCCTTTAAAATAAATATATAAAACTTATTATTAGTTAATCTCTTATTTTATACTCTTGCAATGTATTTGTATTATATAAATCCACTTTTATAATGTGGTTAGCAGATAAAGAATATGCAAAACTCATATTTATACTAATATAATAAAAAAATTTAAGTTTTAGTCATTACAATCATCATCCATTTCAAACAGATGATTTAGTTTTAATTCTGCCTTTTTAATTCTATCTGGATCTTCTTTTGCTTCTTTAATCATAATTCTTTTTTTATTTTCTTTTTTATGTGAAACACCAACAACATATTCGGGCATAATAATTTTATTGCTTTTAAAAACTGCCTTTTCCTCATCTTCGTTATATTGAACCCGAATGGTTTTAGATACTTGGAATATTGGTTTCTTAAATAAAGCTGATTCGTTTGGCTCTTGATTAGGGTTTTGTTTTGCTTCTTCCCTTTTCTCCAACTCTCGAATTAGTGTATGTGCAGTAGCAGCATTAGTCGCATCAGACATTTGTTCAGGTGTGACATCTGCTAGTGAGTAATAGGCCCATTTTTGAGGATTTTTAATGTAGTCTGGTACTGTCTTCGCCCGAAGACATTCTCGAAGGCTTGCCTCTGATCGCTTGAATATGCTCTCTTTCCCCCTAAACTGTTTCATCTCATGTTTAAGTTTTCTATAAGTTTTTCTGTCAATAACTCCATAGTCAATATCAATGGAGGCTTTGTTCGATTTAGAAAAACTATACTGCTCCTCTGCATCCTTTAGTTGGTTAAAAAGACACTTCTGTCTTTCAAAGTACGACGACATTTACACAATAATTATATCAAATGATGTTGTTGATTATCGTTTTAAAGATGTGAAATTTATTAAATTTTAAATCGAAAACCTTACTAATATTGCGTACCTAATATCTAATTATTTACTTACATAGGTATTATTATTAATTTCTTGTAAAGGTTATTACTTTTTTATAACTGGCTTTACGGCTCTGGGTTCTAGCCCTTTTAGCCCTTTTGAGCCTGAAGTTACAATGTATAATAATTATCCTTCACAGTACACTGCTTCACAATATGTTGATGCGTCACATTGTGGAGCCCTTGGGAGATTTTGATGGCAACTTGAGCCAGCAGACAGCTGGCAGTTGGCAATGGTATCTCAAGGCGCCTAAGCAAACATCTTATCTTGAGAATCACATCACCATCAGAGCACTTGTTTCACCGTTTTCACTAATAGTTCACATGCGTAGACACTTAATTCACAAAATCGCACCACTTTTACATATCAAAGTCCACTTCAAACCATTATTTAAACAATAATAAAGGAGCACCAAACCACCGCCTGTCAAGTTCCCACCAAAACCAAAGAGTATAGTAACTGTCCTAACCAAAACTCTCCCTAGTTACTAACTATACTCTTTGCCATAGATAAGAGTGTATATACCATAGAACCATAGATTATATACTGCATCTGAGGAATGACGATTACTAAATATATACTATAATAATGTTATAGAGAGCATATACACCCCCCTTGCCCAGCCTTATTTGGAGTATATATATGCAGGTGTCCCAGTAATGGTGCATAATCTGGTACGTACGTGTTTGGGCAAAGGGGAGGTGGCCTGGGTTCCCTAAAAAAAAATTCCCTAAAAAAGACGCAGCAAGAGTTATTTCAACCAAAAATTATCAAAGACTTTTAGAGAGGTCGTTTTTAAAAAGATGTAGATCCGGCAGGAGGAGGCCAGTTCGAGCATTTTCTGTAAATGATTTTAAATAAAAAAAAAAGGATATAACTAATGTCCTTTTCATTAATTTACGCATCCTTAACAAATGGAAAACAGTACAAACCATATTTTCACAACTGTACATAATAGAACATGTCAGGTTTCACTGTTTGTCTCTCTCACACAGCATAGAATTAGTCCAAACATGGCGAGCAGATAGTAAAGTAAAATTTTCAAGGGCGACAGATGTAGTTACCTAATAAAGACATGCAATGTTAAAAAAAACTATCTGCCAATAATTTTGTAATGAAATGCCTACTTTTACACATTAACGGCTATAGCTCAGTAAGTAATGATATTAAGTACATAGTATGCTAATGTTTTAGAATCCTCATGATGTAGGCAAACTTTTTAAATGGTTGGCCACACAGATCCCATACGTTTTTTTTTCACCACAGGTGCTCAAACTTAGCAGATAAATAAAGTAAAAAATTTTAACTTATGTTTGGTGCCGTCTTGTAAAATACTACCCATAGTAGTTGAAAACTTTTTTTTAAGAGTAATTTAGGAATATCATTATTAGGAAACACATTAAAATACAAAAATCCGATCTAGGCATTAAACTGTGGACGTGATGACCACAAATGTGAGCAGAAGTACGAATTTTCGGAATTTTATAAAACATGGTGTAGAGCGCAAACCGTTCGGGGTAGAATTTTTTTTTAGGGAACCGAGGCCACTTCCCCTCCGCCCAAATACGTACGTACCAGATTATGCACCATTACTGGGACATTCTATATATATACATACTGGCAGACGTATTTTTATTAGCACATCTCAAAAATACTAATTATTTAAACTGCACCCTTACAGTTTATAATAAAATAGTTAAAGATCGCTCACCTTATAATGTCGTTATTACTTGAAATAATTAGAATTGGGTACTTTTTTGCCGACTTCCAAAAAGGAGACGGTACTCAATTCGACTGTATGTTTTTTATGTGTGTTACCTCATAACTTTTTACTGGGTGAACCGATTTCGATGATTGTTTTTTATTTGAAAGCTGGTACTTCTCTTGTGGTCCCATATAAATTAGATCAAGGTCAGACCAATAATTTTTGAGTCATTCTTAATAACTTATATTGAAGTCGGCTGTACAAAATTTTTAATTTTCACTTATTGTAGTGTAAAAAAACTGCACCTTGCTTGAATATAATTGCACCATCGTTAGAAATGCACAAAATGCAATGATAAGCACAAAAAGTGAATAAAACCTAATTTGCTAGGTCAATAAAATGAAAAATACTGACAGATGTATTTTAATTAGCACATTTGAAAAATATTAATTATTTAAATTGCACCCATGTAGTTTATGAATAAAAAATAGTTAAATATTGCTCAACTTATAACATCGATATAACTTCAAACAATTAGAAATGGGTAATTTTTGCAATATGAAAAAACTACACCCTGTTTGACGTTAAAAATGCATAAAATACAATATTAAGTGCAAAAAGATAGTAAAATCAAATTTGTTAATTGTCGACAAAGAGTGTAAAATCACTAGGTTTAATAGGTGGGACTTTCTTAATAAAAGTAAATGTATAAAGGGCGCTAAGCTACTTTGCCAACATCAAGCCATTATATTTAATTACCACCCACCTTTCCCCAGCCTACGAATTTGGAGTACTTATATATATAAAAAAATCTTATTTACTTTATTTACTTTATTACTCTTAGTGACTTATTTTAAAAATAAACTTCTCAAAAATCGAAAACATACTTACCTTTTCTTTTTTAAATACTAGCAAGGCTATTGACATTACTTATATTCCCTTTAACACTGTAAGGTAAAAATGCTTGAGTTAGGAGCGGTTCATGACAGTTGTCGAATGGCGGATTAGAACCCACCACCTTTTGAGTTTGCGGTCCGCGCCCAGCCATTATGTTATTGTCGCTTACTATATTCTCTGTAAGATTAAATCATATAGATGTAAATGTTTGTCTCTTTTTAGTGTCGCTTTTTCGTTTCATCGAGTTTCAAATCATAATGATTCTAAAAAAGTATTCACTTCAAAAATAGATAAAGATCGCTCACCTTATAACCACAGAGTAAGGAGTAAGGATCAGAAGAGAAGCTTCCTAACAACATCGTAAATGTATACCCACAGAGTAATGAGATGGCCCTATTTTGATAGGGTTGTCACCTTATGCATGTGAAAAAATTAAGAAATTTCGTCCTGCGTCCCGCGCGGGATTCGCCTCAGTTTGGACGAAGCTTAAAAGTTGGTAGATCTACCGAAAAGTTGGTAGAGTTGGTAACACTGCCACAAATTAATAAGTTTTTTATTAATTTACTTTAATATTTGAAAACCGATGGGAAAAGAAGCCTCGTATCGGTAGGCGAAGTGTAGGGCGACCCCCCTCCCTCCCTAGATGGAGTGACGACCAGGTAAGACATGCAGGAAGTCGATGGATGTGTGGCGGGTAGAAGGAAAAGGGGAGATCTCCCGCCGGGCAAGGTGTTCTGCCCGGGGAGCGGCCAACGCTCCGATTGGTAGTTCGGAGCTATTCTATAATGCTGCTTTAACTTCGGAACTTTGTTAGTGCGATTTAGGCTTCGATGTGTTTCGCTTGTGGCGTGACGACAGCGCCGCCACATCACCCCCCTGCTCAGACCGGAGGTTGATAGTGCAGTCTAGATGTAGACGAATTTGCAAGTGCCAGGGAATTGCCTTGTAAGTCTGCGGTGAGTCGAGAAGAAGGTTAGTAATCTGCGAGAGTGCCGTGAAGCAGAGGCGAGCAGTAAGACTCAGAGCGGTGCCGAACACTGTAGCGCAGAGAGTAGCTTGAAGGAACAGGAAGCATTATTATTCTAGTGCTGCGATGCACCTTTGTAAAGCTAGATGGCTTGCAGAATGTGAACATTGCAGACAATATCTGCTCGGAAGCGAATGAATGGAGTACTAGAGGACGATGACGAAGGTTTTTGAAGTTGTAGTTTCCGAAGGTTGTTGATTGCGTGTTTATATCACGTCGGGTGGTCACCAGCGTAAAATAGCAGCTTAATGCTGCTGTGTTTCGAATAGTGAGTGTAGAGAACCGGAGACCCTTTTTACTGGAAAAGAGGCATTCTGTCTTAGTCCTTACGGCTGACAACGCATCTGCATTTTAATTCGCAAACGAGGATAAATGTAGATGTCTATGGGCCGCAGTAACCACTTACCATCAGGTGGACTGTGTGCTCGTTTGTCATCCTTATTCTATAAAAAATGAATTTAATACTATTTAGTAAGATAATATGGAAGGGATTAAACGATTAGTACTTCCACAGAACACAGAATAGTTCTTAGCAAGCTCTAATGGTCGCTCCACACTCTCGTTGGGAACAGACGATAAAGCAGAAGACGTGAGTGTGCATTTATTGGTCTCGTTCTCGTTCTTGCTTTGTTGTCCGTCGATGGTGGTATACTTACATAGTTTACGTGGTAGAGCCATTCTGCAGCTATGTTACTGGTATAGTTGTAGCACAAATGGGTTGGATCGACCGGGGAAGTACCAAACATACCAGCTTAAAATAGCAGCTTAACACTGTTGTGTTTCGTATGGTGGTTACGGGTGACAACACATCTGCATTTTGACTTGTAATCGAGGATAATAATGTAGATCTATTAGCCACAGCACCCACTTACCATAAGGTGGATTGTGTGCTCGTTTGTAACCCTTATTCTATACAAAAAAAAGTTAGTACTGAGATATTTTAGATTATTGTTGGTTGGTGACAGCATAACACATATTTTCATCATAATGTAAATCCCGAGGTTTCACATCATTCGTCACTCAGTTAATTGATAAGTGATGACTTTAACGTCATTAGATGTGCTGTGAAATGCGATTAATGATTAACCCATTCAAATTTGTGGTGATAAGTAATATAGATATTAATCATAGCTACGTGAGTAGTCATGGATGTTATACTAGTATTTAAGTTCTTCATTAATGATCGCTTAGTACCTTATTGGTTAGAATAACTTCCTAGTGAGTCATGACTTCCGAAAACCCAGTTAGAGCTTACATTAGTGA